TTTTTAGAAACCTACAAAAAAAAAAAAAAAAAGATTTGCCCTTTTCACCTCTGCCCAGTCTTGATTAGGAAAGTGGGAAGGTCACTTAAAATGACCTATCTCATTATCTGTACACCAAAGAAGAATAATTTCTGATCACTTCCATTATGGCGTTATATTTATTTGTCTGATTCCCCACCCACCAAACAAAAGGTACAGTTATTATTTTATCCCCAAGAGCCTGACACACAGTAGGTGGTCAAAAAATATTCATTCACTGCAAAGCAAACCAAATAAATCAATGAATGAAGTCAGCAAAATGGAGAGTGTTGGCAATTTGGTGGAAATTTGGTATTCTGTAATCAAAGGGAAGCAATGATAAAATGGAATACTATTGGGGTGCCTGGGTGGCTCAGTTGGTTAAGCATCCAACTTCGGCTCAGGTCATAATCTTGTGGTTTGTGAGTTCGAGCCCCATGTCGGGCTCTGTGCTGACAGCTCAGAGCCTGGAGCCTGCTTCAGATTCTGTGTTTCCCTTTCTCTCTGCACCTCCCCTGCTCATGCTCTCTCTCTCTCTCTGTGTCTCTCAAAATAAATAAATAAACATTTAAATTCTTTTTTAAATAAAATGGAGTATTATCCAGTTACAGGGAAAAAAAAATAGCCCAGGTTGCCTTCCATGCCATTTTCGTTAATAACTTAACCATTGTGGAGGCGGGGAAGGAGACACACATGAATCTCAGTAAGAACTGAGCGAAACATCACTTGCCTGTAGCACAAAAGGAAAGGCATTGTAATGGAACAAAACAAAGTTCTACAAATACTCCTAATTCCCAGCCACAATGTTTGTGGAAACCTATGGGTGACCTCTGCAGGTCCCCCACTTTCAGTGCCTGCCAGCACTGCAGGGGCCACTTTCTTTGTATAAATAAATCACGTCTCTTTGATAAAACTGTTCCCCGCTCCAGTGCCTTAAACCCTCTAGGACTCAAAAGGTGTCAGTAGTTAGTGGGGCGCCTGGGTGGCTCAGTCGGTTGAGCGTCCGGCTTCGGCTCAGGTCATGATCTCGAGGTCCGTGAGTTCAAGCCCCGCGTCAGGCTCTGTGCTGACCGCTCAGAGCCTGGAGCCTGTTTCAGATTCTGTGTCTCCCTCTCTCTCTGCCCCTCCCCCGTTCATGCTCTGTCTCTCTCTGTCTCAAAAATAAATAAACGTTAAAAAAATTAAAAAAAAAAAAAGGTGTCAGTAGTTAGAATGATAGTTCTCAAGCCAGGAAAAACCAGGACTTTCATCACCAGGGCTGTTATAAAATTCTCCAATTAAAAAAAATTTTTTTAACGTCTATTTATTACTGAGAGACAGAGCATGAGCAGGGGAGGGGCAGAGAGAGGGAGACACAGAATCTGAAGAAGGCTCCATGCTCTGAGCTGTCTGCACAGAGCCCGGTGTGGGGCTCGAACTCACAAACAGTGAGATCATGACCTGACCAACTGAGCCTCCCAGGTGACCCAAAATTCTCCAATTTTTTAAAAGTGCATTTCTTTTCATTGACTTTAGTCTAAGAAAAGGCTTCAGGGATGGGCAAAGTGAGCACTTGAAGCAGCCAGGAACGTGCTGATGGAGCATTGAAGATTCCCAAAGGACCCATGGGTTGGGAGAACTGTATTCTCCTTACAATTCTAACTTCCTGCTAATGAAAGTCTTCCCACTGTCAAATGCACAAGATGAAACATCGCATGTAGGAGCTAACATGTATTTTAGTTGTTGTTGTTGTTTTCAACTTGACTCCTTAGTGAATATTTTGTAAAGGTCAGGAGAATGGGGCAGTAGAAAGCAGGAACTATGATCTAGAGTCTCGGCTCTGTCTAGCTGTGTGACCACGAAGAAGTCACATCCCTTCTTTGGAGGCTTCTGTGGCCTCATCTATGAAATAGGGACAGGACACTCTGGCACGTTAAAACTTGTAAAGTTTAAAAGAAAAAGTAGAAATGAAGGCACTTTGAAAGTTTAAGCACTGTAGACAGGAAAAGTGGCATTAGTACTAATATAATAGTAGTTTATATTACTTGCTCCTTTCTCTGCGGTAGAGTTCAAGGGCAGAGTAGGACCTGCTTAGCGCCGGAACATGGCCTTTGAGAACATCTACCCCGAAGGAGTATGTGTAGCAATTGCTTGGTTTTTATTAGTGAAAGGTATAATAATACTCTTAAAACGTGCATGTGCTCTGCTAAGTATTTTATGTATATTATCTCATATGACCCCCCCCACCCCCAGCCCTAGGAAGTGGGTACTATTAGTATTCGCATTTTCAGATGGGGAAAACAAGGCTCAAAAGAAGTAAGGTCACCTGAACAAGGCCACACAGGAGCTGAAGAGCAGAGCTGGGGTTGAAACCCAAGTCTGTCTGACTCCAGAGCCTATACTCTTGACCTTCACCCTTCCAAATAATACCCTGTATTTTAAAAAGTAACAATAGCTGCTTCTTATGGAATGCTTACCATGTGTGAGGCAAAAATATTCCCGTGTCACAGCAGCTACTCTGAGAGTAGCTGAGTGGCTTGTTTGAAGTCTCCAGCCAGTTAGAGGCAGAACCAGGCTGAGACGTTATATCCATCTGACGTCTGCGGGGCTGTTCCCAAACCACTGCCCTGCACCCAGTGGCTAAGTGGGCAGGCTCCCCCCTGTGTTATCCCCCTGACTAAAGCAAGTATGATGGAAAAGGCACTAGGAATTCCAGAACTTAATGATTTCCCAGTGAGTTTGCCTAAGCTCCCATCCAGGCCGCTCTTTCCAGAAGCACCCATGCTTTTTTAAGTGACCCAGCCCCTCACCGCCCTCAGAGAGGCTATTCCAGAACAGCAAGTCCAAGCAGCAGTGCTGAGGCAGGGCCACAGGGGAAAATATTTGGTTCCCTGGATACAGCTGCATATGTTGGGTGAGATTTCCTCTCACAAGACTTGGTCCCTTCTGCCGGAGGCCGAGCGGAACTGAGATCCAAACGGCAGCAGTGCAAGCGGGGAGAAACTTGCCGACAGAGCATAATGATACATGCTCAGTTCTGCTTGTGAATGAAAAAGCTGGAAATGCCTTTCACCCATGCTGTAAGGTCACGGCGGCCGCCCACGGCAGGGAGAAGAGTTCCACTGGTTTGATAGATTCCAGAAAGATAGCACCACAGCTGGTTGCGATCTGGTGATTAACAGGCAAAGGAGTTAACTCACTTGCCAAGGAGACCTTGACAGAAAGAGGGAGAAGACTCAGAAGCAGAGCAGCAGATGGAAATACAGGGAAAGTCATTCATTCCACACGTATTTATTAAGCCCCGCGATGGGCTCAGCACCGTTTCAGGAGCTAGGAGAGCAGCAGTAAATGAAACTTCCCTTCCAGTGGCAAGAGAACAGGAAAAGCAAACGGCCCTGAGCATTTGGAAGGAGTGCAGTCCTTGATCAGCAGACCCTCAGCAGTGAGCTTGTGTCCTGGGGATTTGGGGAGGTATCATACTAAGGTGTAACAGGTATCTTTTTTGTTGGCCTCTGTCTGCCAGGCTAGGTGCTCTGTTGGTAGGTATCATTAGTCCCATTTTATTTATCTTTTAATACTTTATTTCTGTTTTGAGAGAGAGAGAGAGCACAGGCGGGTGAGGGGCAGAGAGCGGAGGACAGAGGATGCAGTGGGGGCTCTGTGCTGACAGGGTGACAGCAGCAAGCCTGATGTGGGCTTCGAACTCATGAACCGCGAGGTCATGACCGCTGAATTTCTCCAGGGTTATTCTGGTAAGTGTTTAACAAGAGGTTCTCTGGAGAAAAGGGCCCGGATGTATATATAGCATTTGCCAATTTCTGTGGTGTATATACTCTCACCTTGGCCGACCTCACGTTACCGCTGTTATCTGACTGGGAAGAGGTGAACAATAGCCTGCCGCCATTAAATAGTATTGCTGCCTTACTGACTCAGTAGACATAAATAACCTCATGAGCAAAGATAATCGTAAAACACAAATAACTGGAAAATGATGAGTTTTGAGCATTTATTACCTGTATTTTTTTTTTTTTTTTAAATAAGCTCCATGCCCAACGTGAGGCTTGAACTCATGACCCAGAGATCAAAAGTCGCATGCTCCACCAACTGAGCCAGCCAGGTGCCTTTTATTACCTGTATTTTTAATGTGATTTCTTTTGTTGTAAGTTTATATGCTGTAATTTTTAATATTGGGTTGTGCTTAACAACCAGCTCAAAAATGAGACTGTAGGCTCTCATGGGTTGCCATGACACAAGTCCACATCACCATTGTCTCTCCTGAAAGATTCTTTTCCCCTCATTGTATTTTTCTAGTTCTGGCTCAGAAATGGCTTATGGCTCCTTTTTCATATTTCCTTTGTCTCCTTGACCTGTGGCCTTCCACAGCTTTTTTGTTTCTTTGTTTCATTTTAATCACTGAAGCCTGAGTTAACCTCAAAAAAAAAAAAAAGGGGCGCACCTGGGTGGCTCAGTCAGTTAACCATCTGACTTTGCCTCAGGTGATGATATCACAGTTCCTGGGTTCGAGTCCCGTGTCGGGCTCTGTGCTGACACCTTTCTCAGAGCCTGGAGCCTGCTTCAGATTCTGCTCCTCCTCCATTTGTGTGCTCTCTCTCTCTCTCTCTCTCTCTCTCTCTCAAAAATAAAGAAATGTAAAAAAAAAAAAATTTTTTTTTTTTTTAAGAAGACTTAATCCCATTGAAAATGCAAGCTGCACTAAGTGACCAAGAATTTTCTTCACTAAATGTTAGAAGCCTGTAGGTTGAGAAGGGAGCGTTTTTTCCATGACGGTAAAATGAGTCCTGGACATTATGAGTAAGACATTTTCTACATTGTCCAGCACGTGCTTGACTTTTCTGTTTTCGCAATTTGGTGATGCTTTTCTAAATTCCCTACCCAAATGTGACTTTTCTACCAACCCAGCTAGTGCTCTGGAACCTAATACAATCCGTCTGTATTATTTATAAACTTCCCAAGGACTGATTTCAGCCTCTACTTGTACATGGACCACAAAGAACAAAGAGACTTTGAAAAGCATAAACCAGAGACATTCTAACAGGGGTGGGTGAAAAATGGAAGCGAGAAAGCTCCGACAATGAAAGTGTACTCCAAAACAAATGGAAAGTTGGTTTTGGTTTTCTAATTAATTTTTGTGCAGCTTTAGGTTTCCTGGGCAATAGACGTGATTTATGTGCCCTGTGGATGGCATACGTTCGGCCCAGATTTCCAAATGGGCTGTACAGTGAATAAACGGTACCTAGAATATCTTTCAATTGCCAAGTGCTGCAGTTTATTTTTAAAATCCCTTCACCCGAGCTGTGCTTGTCTTAACGTTTAAGTTTTTGAAAGACGCAGTACTTTCGCTCATTCCTACAGGCTGTTTTTCACGGGAGAAGAGAAAACTGACAGTTGGCAAAGCAGAAAGTTTCCAAACCACAGGGTGTCTGCTCCTTGCATAATCACCAAAGCCAAAATTTCCATTTTCTACAAGTTGATGGGAGAACTTCATTTCTGGTCGAACCTGAACTGCAGACAAAAGCTAAAATCCCCCACCCCAGCCCGTGGGCTGTGCTCTTGGCTTTTCTTGGTTACACTTGGTGACTTTTCCTGTTTACAATGTCCGTGTCCTCCCGTTTTTTCTTTTCTTTTTCGACTCGATACTGTACCATGACTTCTAAAAATACAGCCTAACAACTGGTTTTAAGTAAAGAGGATGTTTCTTTCTGGAAAGGAATGGCGGATATATCCTGCATGGTTTTCTGAAAATAAACATTTGACGGTCTCTCATCGGTGCCTAACCTGAGTTTCTCACTGGAAAAGCGCAGAGTATTTCTAAGGAGAATCCTGCTTTTCATTGCAGCTTCGCCCATGACAGTATGTCACCTGTTTCCCCCACTTGCTGTTGGGTGAGCTCTTAGTTGAGTTTGCCTCAAGCCTTTAGTAGCTAGGAAGCATGGGGAAGTTGTTCTGAACTTCTTGGGGTCTCTACTCCTTCAGTGTGAAACGGAGGGCCAAAAATACCTGCTTCGCAAGGTGGCTGTAAGAATTCAGAGCATGTCATGGATGTCAAAGCACATGACTCAGACATAACACTCATTTCCATTTCGTGTGGGTTGAGAACAAAAGCAGCCGGTCAGGCCCAAGACACCCCCTGGTCACAATCAGATAAGAAGCAAGGTTTATAAGTGTTTCCCCAGCTTTGGGTACCAGGGCAGCTAAAAATGGCAGTTTTGAGTTAGTCTGTTGATTATCCCT